AGAGAGAGAGAGAGAGAGAGAGAGAGAGAGAGAGAGAGATGAATTAGATGGTTGAGAGGAGTTAAACAGCTGCCTAAGCGGTGATTGGAGTCATTCATATAAATATCAGAGAAATACTGTAATAGTTTATTGATTGGGAATTGTATGATAAATCATTGAAAACAAAGGCAATTATTTGCATATTTCAATGTTTAGCTCATCCGCATTACTTCAACCAATTGTCTTGTGGTCTGGATATCGTGTCCTTAGCAGGAGAATGGCTAACAGCGGCGGCTAATACTAACATGTATTGTTTGCATTTGATTATCACAATAATAAGCATTTAATAAATACATATTAATTTGCACGAAAGGTTCACATATGAAATCGCACCCGTTTTCATACTAATGGAGCACCAGGTCCTCAAGAAAATGAGAGATATCATCGGCTTTACTAATGGAGATTCAATTCTATGTCCGGGTACGCTATCACCACATATTTATCAGTTTCAGTGACAATTTTTAGGACATTTAATAGCAATTGAAGGCATGATTTTTGCAATATTCAAATGAAAGAAACAATCTTTTGGAAAGAATACAATAGGAAAAGTTGAAATTGAAAAAGTTTAATGTTTCAAATTGAAAATAAAATGAGATATAAATATGAGTTAAATATAATGCGGGGAAATGTGTAATAAAGTGTTTATATTTAATAAACATTGTTAACTGAAAAGGCGGTGCGATATCCAATCTGTACGCCGTTATCGTCGCCCGACATAAGCTGTTTCCAGAATACAAGACAAAAGGGCTGAAAGCTTTGCCACAACTGGTTCTCTTCACTTCTGAACACGTGAGCACTGTTTTGCACCACTGTTTGCATGCAATCAACTGAACCCAAAGCCAATTTATAGACTATTAGATAATTGAAAAATACATTGAAAGAAATTTCGTGTCAAATTGGTTTCGTTACAAGAGATCCTAAATAGAAACACAATTTCTTTTGCAGAGCCATTACTCGACTAAAAGCTCCGGTTCTGTCTGTGGCTTCGGCACTGATAATGTCATCGAAGTTGCCTGCGATGACAAGTATTGCCAAAACTCTCATTATTTGTCTTATTTAGTGCTAAACTATGTGTTGAATGCAGAGGAAGAATGATTCCAACGGAATTGGAAAGACTTGTAAAGGAATCGGTCACAAGAGGTTGCACTCCATTCTTTGTGAACTGCACGTGTGGTACCACTGTTTTGGGCGCTTTCGACCAAATCAATCCTATCGCCGACATTTGCGACAAATACAATCTATGGCTTCATATCGATGTAAATTTTTAAATTTTATTACCAATTTTAAGCTTTGCTTCCACTAGATTTCAAACTATAAACTATATTAATTAGCTCTAGCTTTAATCAAATCATTAGATTTATTAAATTAGATAAATGAAAATGATAGAATGGCGGTTTTATAATTAATAAACTGTTAAACAGCTATTTAATCAAACGTTAAACAATTATTATAAAAATAATAGCGAATAGAAAACATATGTGATTAGGTTTGATCAACTTTCATTTTAGAAAAAGAGGACTTTTAATAGGGTTTTAGATAACAAACGGGGAAACATTTAATAATTATAGATGACAAATAGTTTTTAACTTAATTTTAATAGTAAATGTTAAGAATACACTGCTCAAAACATGCTCAATAGAGAATGTTGGTCACTCTACATATGATTGAATTGATATACATGTAATGAGAGAGTGTGTGCATCTATAGGCCGCGTGGGGCGGAGGATGTCTGCTCTCTCGAAAGCATAGACACAAACTGAATGGCATCACAAGAGCGAGTTCTGTCACTTGGAATCCACACAAACTGATGAGTGCTTTACTCCAGTGCTCGACCGTTCACTTCAAAGAAGATGTGAGCGTTTTTTTTTGTACATAACATCTACAACAAAAAGTTTACTGTAATAATTAATATACGGATAATGATGTGTATTAGGGATTACTGTTGGACGCGAACCAGATGTGCGCCGACTACCTGTTCCAACAGGACAAACACTATGATGTGAGCTATGATACCGGGGATAAAGTGATTCAATGCGGTCGACATAACGATATCTTCAAGTTATGGCTTATGTGGAGATCTAAAGTAAAAATTGATTCATTTGTTAACAAAAACTTAATTATTGATTGTATTGACCGTTTGCGAAGGGAACGGAAGGCTATGAGCAACATATAGACCATCTCTTCGATATGACAGAGTATGCATTTAATTAATTACTAATGTTTATTATAGGAGTACATATGAATGAAATGATGTGTGTTTAGTGTTTTAATTGGATATTAATGTTAACAGATATATGGTGTCAAAACTTAAAGAAAGAAGCGATCGCTACTATTTGATAGTACCCGAACCCGAATGCGTTAATATAAGCTTCTGGTACGTCCCCACACGACTCAGGAATATGCCTCACAATAAACAAAAAGAACAGGAATTGGGCAGGGTAATTATATTTATTTCCATAATAAGTAAAACATTATAAGTTACTTTACTAAAACGTGTTTTTTATTGGCCTGATGTAAAGTTTGATATTTTACATTACATTTTTGTACAACGTTTAAAAAAAATAACTAATATATAGCCTCCGCAGGAATTTCATAGTGTTATGCAATACTGACTGTAGTCGATAACTACGTGTACACCACTGCTGTGCTGTAGCCAGACATATGTGAGTGATAAGCAGATTCAATGCACTGTCAATGCTAGCGAGTAGTATTGCATAACACTATGAAATTCCTGCGAAGGCTTTAAATGGTTTTGGATTAATATAAGTAATGTTATACACTTTTGGGAAGATTCTTATTTCCCCAATATCTTCCCTCCCAAAATATGGGATTTTCCCGGAAGATATAAATTTAGAGGGAATTAATGTATTTATAAATGCTAATTAAATACAAATATTTAGCGCCTTTTTAAATTTTGTTCAAAAAATGATTCAAAAATTAATTAAAATTAAATAAATTAAACAAACTTTTTGACATAATATGTTTAACTAAATTAAGGTAAATATTATAGTTAGAAAAAACTATTTATATCCATCGACTGGTCATCATTTTATCACATTTTATCTTATTCTCCTTGTTTTCAAGAAGATAAAATATCCTCTCAAAAATATATTACCGGAATACATTTAACGTAGGAGTAAAGTGTCTAACGTTAAATATAAAAATAATTACAATTCTAATTATACGCTGCAAATAATAGCTTTAATAAATAAAGATCCTTTACATAATCTATAATAATATAAATGCTATTAATTATAATGTGAAATAAATGTTTTAATTGTAAAAAGATAACACCAATACTGAAGGGGCGAATGATGAACGAGGGCACTTTAATGATAGGTTATCAACCGGTGGGCGATATTCCCAACTTCTTCAGGAACATTATATCCAATCCTGGCGTCCAAACCAAAGACATCGACCATTTACTCGACACGTTGGACCGTTTGGGTCACGATCTCTAATGTTTGCATT